CATTACATATATTATTTTAAAAATCGAGTTTTTATGCATCTCAATATAAATTAAACGATTGATTGAATCACGTTCATTAAACGTATGTTTTTCATTAAAATAATATATATTATTAACAAAGATTTAAACAATAATACAAAATAATTCTATAAATGCTTGATCCCATAAATTACACTTTCTTCAAAAATTTATATTCAATGTAAAATTGATCCAACTGGTCTGTTAAGAGGAAAGAAGAATCTTGGTAAGGTAAAAAATAATTACGTAAAATATTATTCTATAATTCTTGATTGCATAAATTACACTTTTGTCCAAAATAGGGACAAAATTTATTACTCGATCTAATAATATCTTCACGAATGTACACTTATATCCGTTAAGAGTTGAAGAAAAACTTCGCTCTCTACGAAGCAAGAAATAACGGGATACAGACGGAAGAAGCTAACAATGATATAATACCGTTACGAAGGAAGGGGTACAGGGGTGAGATTAGCGAGAAGGTTGAGAAAAGAAGCGGCCGTTTAAGTGGCGACAACGGATACGGAGAATGGAAAACACGGTCTCCGTTTAATGCTGTTATCATGGTGGACAACGAAAGGAAATATGGCGACTATTATTCGCTGAATACTTTTACCTTGCCGCGTATTTCTCCGTTCCTTCTCTTCAAGATGCACCACCACTTGGCATAGAGGGAACATCCTTCCACCATTGCTTTTTATTCGTCGGAATTGTCGAGCATTTTAAGAGCGTAAATTATAGAAATCGAGAAGTTTAGTAAAAAAAGTAATCTTTATTTTTCCTCGCACTAAATGGATGCTTCTTACAGATATGAATGCACGTTCACACATCACTTAAATGTTTATAATTATGTGTAACACAATAAGAATATAAACATAAGTTGTTTATATCTCAATAAAAATCACAATAAACACTTCTAGTATTAATGATAGAATTTCAAGATATGGAGAAACGAAAATTGTGTCATTATAACAAGACAATAATATTATTAATAAAATATTATTATATTATATTGTTATATTAAATTGTTAAAATATATATACACAAATTATAATGTGGATTTAAACATAATAAGCTTATGTTTAAAGTTATCAAGTAACTTATGGAGTGTATATCGTCGGACCTGGTTGTTATCGATGGCCAGGATTTGGGGTTCCTCCGTCCAGAAATTAGGACTGTAATACGATAAATTTTCACGAGCGAGCGGACCGACGGTTGAAAAAGCGTAACCTCGTTTGTCCACCGGAAGTTTCGTCGGACGAGAGGAACCAGTGATAAATTCTGTAATTGAAGAAAGTTACTTACCCCGCCACTCGTCGTTCACCCCCTGTGGATGAGAGAAAGTGAACGAGCGTCGAAGAAAGAAGATGGAAATGCTGGATGATTTGTCACGTTGATGAAAATATTCGGAGGATGTATTGACGTATATAGAATTCATGAAGGATGAATGAATGATCTGGAATTTTAATTGAAAACATAGCCAATTTTGTTAATTTTGTATTTTTTTTATTTATTAATTTATGGTTTATTTGCAAAAGATTTTCAGAATAATTTTTATATTTTTTTTTATTAGTAAATCATAATTTGTTCAATTTTTTTTTAAAAAAAATTTGTCTCAAGTTTGATAAATGTAAATTGTAATTTATCTGACTTTCAAAAAAAATTTTGATGTCCTTTGTTTAACAGATATAATTTATGATTTATTTAACTTTCGAGGAAATATCTTTTCATATATTTTATACATTTTTTAAAAGATAAATTTATTTTTTATGATTTGGATTCTTACAATTTTTAAGTAAAATATCGTTCTTCTCTACAAATGTTCGAAAAATATTGTAATATGTATATAAAATCAAGTGCAGAGAAGAGGCAGGAAATTATGAAATTTAATAATGCAATCCAATTACCATTTCTGCAATAATTCCGATCTATGAGAACTAATGTCCATATTTTACATATGGACAGAGAAATTTTACATATAATTAGAAATTTATATTGCAAAGTTTAATCTCGTTTATAACATAAAAATGATTTCAAGTAATTAACAATTATCTTTATAATTATGTGAACGTATTATATCGATCAGCCATTAATTATTTATCACCAATCTAAAAACTTCCTCGTTATAATTAGATTTTGTGTTTTTGTTAATTAAAAAAAAGGAGAGAAGCAAATAAACAATATATAAAATCCCTTATCTTTTATCGATTTCTGTATCTAAATTACAGGATGCAGAATTTTATATAAAACTTTTGAACCTCAATTTCGTTTTTCTTTTATGTTAATCTACATCACCTTGTTACCCCTTGTTTTATTTTTTCATTTAATTTTTTCAACTAATTTGTTATTTTGACAGCTAAAAATTAAAACTTTTTTCCAATTTTTCAACATCATTAGTGTTTCCATTTCAATTTTTTACAAAATATTCTCCACCTCTCTCCACTTTCATACGTATATCACGAAACAAGAATTTATCATAAATGGATCTCTATCCTCTTTTTACTGCAAGATCCTCGATTCTGAACACTATAGAGTTTGAACGCTATAGATATGGAAAAATTCCAGCCAAGGGGAATAAATTTCAAACTCTCTTAACGAACTTGTAAAAGAAACGAACTTTCGTGCAAAAATGGATGATAATTCTCCCCTTCCTGTGTGAAAATTCAAAAGTTATATCGGTTAATTTCCTGCTGGCTAACGTGATACGTGCCAGAGAGGCGAAAGTACGTGCATGAAGAATTCCGCGAAGAGTAACCATCGAATCAAGAGCTACTTCCAGCTCGTCAGTGCGTATTAGAGGTTGTGGTTGATCGGAAACGCATTTTCCAATGTGAAAACACCACTATTCTAGATGGAAACTCTTCCTCGAAGCCGGTGAACCGATCGAAAGCACGTTGCATCAGACCAAATGAAGTGGCAAATAACCGTTATGTCGAAGTTTCCTGGTCAATGCATTTGTATTTCCTTTTCCTCTTTCCTATTTTACCCATTCCTATCGTCTCTTCCTCTCTTTCTGCTCGTCTCGTTTTGACCTTTCGGACCATTTCTAAAGCGAAACGTTCAGACGAAGGGAACGTTCCCTTATTTTTTATGAAACGATCCTTTTCCACTCCATACTGTTCATCGATCTTTCATCCCTATCCCTAACCGAGGTTTATGGGAAGAAAAATCGAAGTTTTGAAAAAGAGAGGCAATGATAGATAAAAGAAGAGGCAATTGAATATTTAATATTGTTGAAATAAGTTGTGCAAGAAGTGGAGGGATGAAATGAAAGTTTCGAAATTTAAAAATTCTGAAAATATGAATTTCTCTAAAATTTTCTCGCAAAATATTTATAAGCAAGATCTTTATCAAATCACGCTTCTTAATATATGTTAAAGAAATTTATAAAGAAAAAAATTATTACGAAATATTATTCGTTTTTGGGGAACTTTAATAATAAAAGTTTCGTTTCGCTCAAAATACGACCGTGATTTCTCGAAAGAAGTTAGGATTATAATTTTTCTTCGTTTCCATCCGGTGTTGAGAAAAACGAAATGGAGTGAAACTAATTTTCGTTCGGTCGAAGGAAACCGGCCGTTTATATTTAGTTTAAACGCTATCCGCGAGCGTATCTGGAACAAGGTATTAATAATGCAAAACGAGGAAAAAGACGTCGTACGTTTACCCGTTTACTGGCACGATTCTATCGATTACTGGATGAATCGATAGAAGGAAAATTGTGTTTACCCCGCGCGTAATGCGAAGAACGTTTTGTTCTTTTATATTTACACATACGATTATTGGTTATTGCATTGAGAAAAGTTTCATGAGTATTGTATTTTATTATTTAGGAAATCTCGAAGTGTTCTATTTTCAATTCATCATTTAAATTTAAAGAGAAATGTCTTCTTTGCTGTTTAATTATTCGTGATAGAGAATGATCGTTACATCCTTTATTTATTCGTGACAGTTTAGATTAAGTTTTGAAACGGTTGTTCCATTCTGAATTTGTCACCGTGAGATGTCACTTGTCGAAATGTTTCAAAGAAATAATTGATCTAAATTAAATCATTAAGTTATTAATTATACGCAGATTAAATTAAATCTTGAGATATCTATTCCGAGTTCACCATTCGAATAATAACCATTCTTCTTGAAAAACGCTGGATTTTTATTTGGAATGAAAATGTTTTTCAAATTGTTTTTCTCGTGATTAAAATGGAAGAATTAATTATTTCTAATTTTTGCAGTAATATTCGTAATCTAATTAAATTTTATTTATTATTTCATTATGTAGACGAATAATTTTAAGATTAAATGATGAATATATTATCGTGATATTGTAAATAACCGTGTCATATATTTTCGTTATAATAGCAACTTCCAAAGACCACATTGACGTTAGTTAACTGAGCGCTTCGAGCATGTGAAAAGTGGTTTTCTAGGTACGCGTCTGGCTTGTATTTTCCCGTATGTTTGTTCCAGCATAGAATCCTTCGTAAAAAAAAAAAGCGAGCTTAAGCGTGGAGAAGTTTTTAGCTGAAACTTTTGAAGAACAGTTTTTTGTGAAGTTTTTATATAACGTTCCGTTTCTTTATAACAAAAATATCTTCTGTGAAAGTAGAATAGTTGTTTTTATTCAACTTGACAAGAGCAATATTTCTCATTTCGCTTAGCTGAATCCATTTATAAAAAAAAAAAAAAAAAAAAATGGGATGATATCTCAATTCTTATATTCAAGAATTATAATAAAAATAATATTATTATTTAAAAATTACGGTCTGCTAATTTCTTCTATCATTAATCCTTCTTTAAATTTCATTTTTCAATTCCACCTATGGGAATTTAAATAAAGAGAAATCAATACGTTATATTGGACATATAATAATTTGCAATGAAATTCTAAAAATCACGTACATATATTGTGTATAACATTTTAAATATTAAATATAATTGTTACATTATTTAACTGACAATATCTTTTATCTTTTCTGTTGCAGCGCCGCCGCAGAAAGTGGAGATCAGCAATCATCCGAACAAAAAGAAGATCGAGGTGAAGGTTGGGGAATCTCGTCGTTTGGAATGTGTGGTACGATCTGCGAAACCTGCAGCCACGATTACATGGTATCGTGGAAACATTCAGATCAAAGGGGGTGAAACGTCGATTACACCTATTTCCATCGAGGGTGGTGAGTGAATTCATGGTTTATTCTATCTTTCAATTGTTGAAATTTCCTTGAAATTATTTTGGAATAAGAATTTTTAAGAAATATTTCGTTAAAGGATTCGATGAGAAAATATGTTGATCAACAGATTTTGATTTATATTAAAACAACACGAAAGAAATAAATTGTATTTCGAAATTCGACAAAATAGATTGGAAATAATTGACAGCATCCTGACAATCGGAATAGTGAATAAGACAAATGAGTTTTCTTGCTGAAATTAAGTTCAACACTTAACTGTACAATCTTCACGAGCTATGATTAATCTTTGTTTACTTGGATTTACGTGAATTATCAGTTAAATTTTCATTTTCTTTTATTAATCAAATTGAAGATTTTTCCTTTAAAAAATAATTTACCATTTTTTCGTTTCAGCATCGTTTGGATGAATATTTATATTCATTATTATATTAGATGCTTCTCTACGGATAAAATTAAAACAGTAATCGTTAATTAATTAACATAAATGAACTTCAATATTTGGTCGTATCGCATATTGCAAAATTCATAAATTGAATAAAATTTTAAATATTATTATAAATAATTAAGATATCGTAAACAGTTTCTTCCATAACAAAATTGAAATCTGAGAAAATGTTATAGAAACATTTATAATAGAATTCTAAACATATCTTTACAATTTAATATTAAATTACGTTGAAATAACATTTACAATAACACTATCATTTAAAAGGGATTTCCAATTTTGTTTGGATTTGTTTCTAAAGAATTTTTTTAAATTTTAGATGAACGCAATCGTACTTTTAATCTTCCAAAAAATAACGCAAATGAATTTGACGTATCTCCTTTTCCTCAGAGGTAACATCAATTCTCATTAACTCGGATCAATTCCTCCTACCTAATACACACATTCCAAGACCTATCCCAAACCCTTCATCCCTTTCACGCAACCGAGGTACAAATTCCTCCGGTATTAATCCCCCACCGAGTCAATCGATCGTTGCACAAAAGCGCCGCTTAAAGTGGATTCCCCTGTGTCGATTTGCCCGGATCCATCCCCCTTAATCCATTTTTACCGACAATTAAGGCCGATGAACGTAGACGTTGCGTCTAGTTTCGACAAGAACCTACCAACGAGAATTCCTCTACTCGACTCGGTGGATAAAAAAGAAAAACAAAAGGGGAACGAAACAAAAGGAAAATCGAAGAAAAAGGGGATTCTCCTTGGCTCCTCGTTTCTCGATGGGGGAGGAGGAAGGAAGGAGCGATTCTCAAACGGCGAAATCGCCTTCTGCCAGGCGTTATATCGATCCTCTCTCTGAACAAGGGAGGCGTATAGAACCCCGAATAAAAAGGAGAAACAACGTCGAACAGACGTCGAGGCCGGAGGAGGGAAAAGGTTACAAAAGATGAGTGGAGAAACGATAGGCGTGACACGAGGGAAAGGAGGCCATAATGGTTCGACGAGCAAAGATCTTCTCCGCCTGTTATCCCCTCTTTCTTCCACTATTTTACGTAATAATTAAATGAATATGAAACAGAGGGACGTGGTGTATAATGTTGGTCTCGTTATCTTTATTTAAATTTCGCGAACCGTGCCGTTCTCGTGATTTAATCAATCCTAAAGTTGTCCTGTTTATAAATCGGCCGGGTAAATACGAGAGATGTCGGGGAACAGGAAGAGCACGAGAATGAGAATCGAATGGAATGAGTATCGGTATTGGGAGAAGTAGTTTGGGTTGAAGTTCGATTATTATTGATCGGGAATAGAGAGTGATAAGGGATCGGCGAACCGTTTGATGAAATCCTCTTATTGTGTTCTACGTGGATTTACGAATTGGATAGTATGCGTTGAATTGGGATATTTTAAGTGAAATTAGCTAAGAATGATTTTTGCAAATTTTTATTGGTTTATTCTATAGCTAATATGATGGTTTAAAATGAAAGAAAAATATCTGAACAAACTCAAACGATTTGAATTCTTACTTCTTTATCAACTCGATAAGATTATCAAGTCTCTTTTAAATCAAAAGAAGAAATCTTATCTATTTATTTCACAATATTCACCACACAAATTTTCATTCACTATTTTCCCCAAAAAAAAATTAAAAGACAAGAAAAAAGAATGACCAAAAAAACATATATGTGAGAGCTAAAGAATTTTGCATCACAGAATCCATGTAAAAATGATGTAATACAGTCTAGATAAAAAGGATGGGGAAAAAAAATAGAAATTTTACGAAATTTTCATCGCAAGCAATCTCACAGCTAAGAGGAAGTGACCGTGTTTCGCGTATTTTTACGTTTGCAACAAATACCAGGTGGAACAAAAGGTTGTACGAAATTCAGGTCGCGAACCAGCTTTGAAAAGCGGCGCTTAAAACTTCCCTTCGACTTTTCTCGGACATTTTTTGTAAAAGTGGCCACTCGCTTTGCCGGATACGTCAAAGAACATGTCCTGAAGACCGTGTCATCGTTCTATGCCATCCCCTACTTGTTACGTCTTTTCTAAGGAATCAAAACCGTTTTTTGAACGAACAACTTAGATCCCCTTCTTCGAAACTCCCAAATTGTACGCGTAAAAATTTTCTCACTTCCTATACCATCTCTTCACTTTCCTCTTCTCCAAAATCGAGAGACTTTGAGATATATTTCGCGGCTGATTTTTTTATAAATTTAAAAGAAATTTGTGCTTCCATCAAGGGAAAATTGATATCCTCTTGTTCAGATTAGTCAAGTTCTTGAGTTTAAGTTTGTGTTTCGTACGAGTCTAATTACTTGTCTTGTAGTCTGTTTGAGTTCGGGTGACCTGACTTTGAGTGATTAATGGAAAATGGATATATGTGAGGAGAAGGAGCCGGTTGCTAAAGTGTATGCAATAACGAGAGTAACAAATTGTTCGAAGTTTTAAAAAAATATTGATTAGATAGAGGATAGAGGAGCGGAATTGTTGTTAAATAGAATTACGTAGATTTATTTAGGAAAATTAGTTTAGTAGCAACAAGGATATCTATCTTTAATTGTGTAACTAATAACATAGTAAATAATGAATTTTCTGGCAATATAGTTCGAAAATTTAACGAACAGGAAATTACTTTTATATTCTTGGTGAACATTATGTGGGATATCATTTTTCCACTTTTAAAGATACATAAGTTGAAATGCTAAATCCCGAGCAAAATTTTTGTTTAAATTTTTGTTTAAATTTTTTGTAAAATGTTCACAATTTGTGCCAAGATCGTCCGCAATTGATTGCAAATTGGAAAGAAAGGATCGAGCGTGGATCGATGTAAGAATCAAGTACCCGATCCTCGATTCTTTGCTTAACATAAACCCGATCTCTCACGAGGGCGCGCGACAAGCTAAGAAAGATCCACAGCCATAATCGTGTCCCCAAAGCCCCAAAGACAAATTCCGACGTGTAATCGTTCAAATTACGACATTGTTCCAGAGGCCACATTTATCCGGTGGATCGTCTGGAACGTTGGCGTAAAAACTACCGGAACTTCCTCTTCGCCTCTTCCTTGGCGTAGTTCAAATCATTTTTCCAGGGAGGGTTATTTTAATATTTAAACGAGGCCACGCTATATTCTTCTACCTAGTGTTTTTTGAAAGCACACCAGAGGATAACTTAATAGAGTGTCTTAGTTGCTCCATTATATCCTTTCCAACAATGCACTTCCATTCATCTCTCTCTCTCTCTCTTTCTCTCTCTCCCTCCCTCTCTCTCTCTCCCTTTTTAGATCGATCTCCCTTGTACATTCCTCCCCTCCTCCCTTCCACGATCCCATATTCCCGTTCTTTTCGTGCTGCTCCAACATAGTTAACGTTTCATGATCCCCAGGGTCGTAACTATGGTTTGCAGTACTTGTTCCACCAGCTTGAAAGTTTTATCTACAGCCGTACAGGCTGCGTGAAGATTTTTCGTTCGTAATTCGCCTGGCTGGAACGATAAAGGCCACTCCACTGGTCCATGACGACGATATTAATTGCAATTGCTTCTCTCTCGTCGTTTAATCCCCCGCCCCCCTCCTTCCCTCTTTTGCTTCGTTTAACGTCGTTTCTCGACGACGAATCAATCGTTCGAAAAATAAAAAAGAAAAAAAGAAAAAAAAGAAAAGAATGCGTTTTCCCTTTGATTAGTTTTAATCAGTGACAAGATTAGTGATAATAAGAGGAGAAAGGAGGATGAGAAAGGAAAGAGAGGGAAGAATGAATATACGAGAAGAAAATGCACGTTCTTATTTATTAACTATTTTGATTCTAGGAAACGTAGTTTGAATGTGATCTTGAAAGAGATTTATTAATATCAATTCGAGTCCTTTTTTATTCTTTTCTTTTTTTCGTTTTTTTTTTTTTTTTTTTTTTGGTACTTACGGTAAACGTAATGTTTCATCTTTGACATTACATCTGATTTCTTTTCATTTTTTCACTTTCAAGATTTTTGTACTTCGAGTGTATTATATTCGAGAGACTAGTCTCGCTAATTTATTTACAAGAGAAATCATTTGTTACACTCTTTAACCCGAGGAGAAATTATTTCCCCCTCCAGTTAGAATACGGATGAAAATAATTTTCATTTAGAACAAAAGGAAATTGGCCGTTGACTGTGAAAATACTGTCGCGACTGGGAAATTGGAGTTCCTTGAAAAAATTAAAAATCAACACGATAGAATAGAAAATGGAAAATCCTCTCGTTTCGTGTACCTTCGGTTGATCGAACAAAATTTTCTGTCCACGGTCAGATTTCTTCTTAAAATCTTGAAAATAATTTCCGCACGTGTCTCGTTTCGAATTTCTCTTTATATTTAATATATGAAAGATAAAGATGAATTTATTAAGAAAAATCCTTAAATTAATAATTTTCTTAATTACAAACCGAATTTTAAAACGGATTAAAAAAAATTTACATTCTTATATAAACGAATAATAAAATTAATGAAATATCGTTTTATTAAATTAGATCAAAACTCGATTTTAATTTCACCGGAAAATTCGAATACGTTTCTCGCCCGAACTCGAGAAACATTCTCGTTGCCTCTGTTCAGTCAGTCGGATTTCATACTTTGAGACAAAATTTCGGTGGTTTACGACTAAGTCTCCGAGTTAGTCTACTTCTAATTGCACCCATGCAAGTTCTTCCTGTCGTTTGCACATGTTCCACCGTCGTGAGTTACGTATTGGTTTCTAAATCGATACGCGCTTTTCATTGATCGCATTCCTATTACCTTTGCTCCTTTCACTAAATCAGTGGTAGCTTCAGCTGTCTAACTTTATTAACAATTATAACTAATGATACTGGTGGAATTAAAATTGCAATATCGCTGAGAAATGTTTTAATTAAAATTATATTTTACGACAATTTTGTGTTGAAAATTTTAAATGCAATTTTTTTCTTTACATAAATGTTTTGTAATGAAGAGTTAGATAATTCGTAAAAGTATCTCGAAAAGAAAAGGAATCTTTATTTATTTAATAATATCAATAGGATTTTAATTGAAGATTTGAATTTTCAATGTTATTAAATAAAGTACATTTTCGAGTTCTTCGAAATTAGTCGTATAATTAACATCAAAAACAGATTGCAAGACAATCATTTAATTAATATTGAAAATAGTCGACGATAATTTTCATATTTCTGTACGTCGTCGAGGACAGATATCAATTAACCAAACACCGATATCATTAAATTTAATTAATATCGGACAGTCGACTTGGAGAGTGAAAATACTTAGTAAAATTATTAATCAACATTCCGAAACGAATGTTTCAAAATCTTTAATATATATCGTAAAATTCAGAATTTCCAATTTTTCGTATATAATTTTTCTAAATCTTAATATTCGAATAAATAGGAATAAGAACGTACTCTTATTTATTGTGGCAATTGATTATATTTGCCATAATTAAATTTCACGATAATAAACAAATAAATTTCAAACAAAGATCATTTCGAGGTACCAGGCAAATTTGCATAAAGCCACGTTGAGCATGATATAATCGAAATTCACGCTGTTTCGATTAAATCTTAAATTATATGCGCTATTTTAACAATTCGAGTTGATCCGAATTTTTACAAATATCGATTAAAAATGAAAATAAAATAAAAACAGAAATTTAAATAAATAAGATAAAAATTGACGATGAATAATTTATAGAATAACTTGTCCCGGGTGGAATTAAAGGTGAAACATCAAGAACAAAATCGTATTTCATAGTGGCACTCTCGTGTGTTACACTTAATAGCATCGAAAATGGTGTCGTTGTGGAAGGCTTCTGAAAACTAATAGGTATCGTTGTTTCGGGTAAAAGCCTGTCCGATCTTATTTCATTATTTTTATATATAATGATTTAACAATATTTCGAAAATAATCGAAAATAATCAATAATGTGAGTAAATATCGTTGAAACATGATGTCAAAAGTTTGAAAAATTTTAGAGAGAAAAGTTAATTTTTGTATTGTTAAAAAAATCATTGAAAATTTGTAATTTTTTAAAGCTAAATTGGCAAAAAAATTTCAGAATTCAGTACAGAATATAGCACTGTTAAAAATTTACTTCTTATAAAAATATTTTATAGAAAATTTTATTTACGATTAATAATAATAAATATCTTCGTTGTGAACAAATTATTCTTCTTTTTTTATGTGTTTCATTTAAGTAACATTACTATATTATCAAAAAATTTTTTATCATAAGAATAATTTATATTGAATCTTAAGGGAAAGATCCTATGGAGAAGAAGACTTCAAAGTGCATGATCCTATAGAAATAAATTTAATTTAAAGTTTTTTTAATCCATGGACTATCTTTGGAGTAAGCTTTAAGAGGATCTACTTAGTTTTATGGGAACATGTGTATGTACATTTTTATAAAAGATGGATGAGAGTTCGCATTTGGACAAGATAAAAAGGGAACATGAGAAAATCGACCCAGGAGACGTTAAATTACACAAGTCACGAAAAAGACAGTCCTTTTATTTGATAATTTTTCTCTTTTTTTTTATTGAATGTAACATGCACATGTACATTGGTTGTACCTTAAAAAATATTTCATCATATTATTTTCATAAAATGACGAGTAAATTTAAAAACATACGATTAATTTAATAATTCAAAATCAAAATTGTTTAAAATATTTATTTATAAATTTATATTCTAAGTTTATTTTTATTAATAAAATATTAGAAATTTGAATGATATCAAGAATTTTTATTATTAATTTTAAGAAAATATATATTTCTAGCATTTTAGAATATTATCTAAAATTATGGTTTACCATTTGTTTTAGACAAAGAAGTACAAAAGCCAGGTGAGAACAAGAAGGAATTGCTTAAGTACGACACCCACGGTTCCATCGTCATTATTCCTACTGCTGATGACAACGACATGGATTATACTTGCGAAGCTAATCATCCTGCATTACCCTACAGTATGCCTTTAAGAGCAACCATCAAACTTTCTGTTTTCTGTGAGTACAATTTTCTAAAGTCATATATTAATATTAACATCAATAAGAAGAAAATCCATCGTATATCTAAATAAAAAAAAGTAGAAAAATAAAGAATATTAAAGATTGACTCTAAAGATTATAGATTATTTAAAAAAAATTACAAATCTCGCTCAAATATTGCGAGAATTTTAATTCCTCCAATTATAATTTCTAAGTGTCAAAATAATCACGTACCAAATTAAACCAACTCTAATTAATAATACTGATCGAGAAACTTCAGAAGATGTTACGTCAAATTAGTTAATGATCAATCGTCTAAATTATATCAATCATTACCGGTTTATTGAGTATTTCTCTGACTCATTAATTACTGAAATTATAACGAAATTATCCTCGTGATAATTACAATTATTTCTACGCGTAATACTCAATCAGCTCTATAAAAAACAAAGGAAGAATCCATCGAACGATTGCAATACGACCTGACATGTTAATTTTACACGTCGCTATCCCTTCTTCGCCTCTTCCGGTTTGAAACTTTTATTGAGAAACTTTTTCCATTACTAAAACAACGAGAACAGATCCCCATTCTTCGTACGCTTCTTTTGCCTCGAAACTTGCATGATCGAATCATTTTTCCAGATCCACCTACCATGCCGTATATCGAAGGTTACACCGAGGGTGAGACTGTGAAACGTGGACAACAATTGGATCTGACCTGCCGATCTCGCGGAGGGAATCCACCCCCCCAAATATTCTGGTACAAGAACAACGAAAGGATCTCATCACCCTACAGGAACGAGGGCCACTTCTCTGAGAACGTGTTATCCATTACTGCGAAAGCGCAGGATAATAACGCGAGATACAGATGCGAGGTATTCAATATCATGAGCGTGGAACCTTTAAAAGTGCACGTGGATCTGACTGTACTTTGTAAGTATTTTCCCTTGGATATTTTTATCTCGTAATATAAAAATTACAAAGTTTTTTTTTTTTTAATATTTAATTAAAATATAAATTACTTTGTTATTAATTTTTTCAACAATTATTCGTTTTTTCAACAATATCGTAATCATTCTCCGTTGTTACGTCATTTCCACACGTTTCATAGCCAGGAAAAGAACTTCGATTCACTAATCAAACGAACTACAATTATTTTTCCCCAGTCGCGCCATCCGGAGTGACGATCACCGGGCCAACAGAAGCGAAGGCCGACGAACAAGTGGTGATCACCTGCACCACGGAGAACTCGAATCCTCCCGCGGATATCAAGTGGACAGTGGACGGTCACAATTTCGAGAGTAACGCCTCTAGAACCGAGCCAGCCCCCGAAGGTGGTTGGATCACCACGTCCAACGTGACGTTCAACATAAATCGCACCAGTCGCAGTATAGTCGTGATATGCGACGCGTCTAACGTGAAACTGACCGAGAATGTCGTCAGAACCCACACCATAACCGTGATTTGTGAGTAACACGCAATTCTGATGGGATGGGTAATTAAACAAACGAACGAAATGTAAACATAATCTGGAAGAGTGATGTGGACTTTGACGATGAGATTAATATATACGAAATTAATCCCAAGACTTAATCCTGTCTTGTCAGTTTATCCGAGATCTACGAATCTGTATCGAGCATGAAATATTCGAACACGAATCTTGAATATATCTATAAATGTAATACGAACTTATTGGACAGAATTAATTTCATCGGTTCACAGAATCTATAGTTTCGTGTACAAAGTTTCTGTTCAACTCGAATCGCGTAGAATATTATCCTAATACATCTTCTGCGATGATTTTGTCGGATAATTTGAGTGTCTTGTAATGTCTTGTAAGATATTATGATATTGTATCTTGTCCAGTAGATTGTATCTATTATACGACGCTAGTTTATATTTGTTTTGCGACAGATCCACCGTCGAAACTTAGTATCACCGGTTACGAGGAAGGAACGACGATTGACGCAGGAACGGTACTGAGATTGTTGTGCACTGCAACTTCTGGAAATCCACTTGCCACGTTGAGTTGGTACAAGAATGATAGAAAGGTGAATATGATCCTTGATCATTATTAATTTATAATAGTTAATTTATAAAGAATGATTAAATGTGGATCATCGTATTGAAAATTTCAATTAAATTCTCATATTTTCATATAAACTTATTATCTTTTAATATTATCCATTACGTGATTTCAATTGTTATAATATTTTATTATTGATATATTTTATGTTTTTGCTCTTGTAATATATATTTTTATTCTATTATATATAACAGAAATAATACTTACTTGAAATTATTAAAATTGTTTGTGAAATTTCTATAGCATAAAATTAAAATAAAAAGTGATTATATAAAATTAATTTTCAAAAATATAATTGAAAAGAATGAATTTCAATTATAATCATTTATTATAAATATTTAACATTAAAATATCAAATTTTTTTTTAATGAAAATAAAGATAATAATGATTTTTCTTGGTTAATTTAATAATTTCAATCCTCTTTTTTTTAAATCTTTTTAAATCTTAACTAATTAATTTTTTATATAATTATTTATCCATATATCTTTTGTTTTAGGTACCAGGAACCACGAGAACGCGAGATCATGCGGTTTCAAGCGAGTTAACGATACTCATAAATGCATCTGACAATAATGCGCGCATACGATGCGAAGCAGCGAATTCCGCAACACAAATTCCCCTGCTCAAAGTGCTCGTCCTGAAAGTTAACTGTAAGATCTACAGTAAAATATATAATATCTTATATTTTACGTAGAAACATGTTAAAAAAAATGCAAAGATATATTTTCATTTCTCATCTATTTTTTTCAATTCGTTAATCTTTTCAAATTCCTCGAACTTTTCATTTTCTCCAATATATTTCAACTTCCAAAATGAACTTCGAAAGATCATTCTACCCTCTAAAATTCTCTAAACTCTACTTCCAGGCAATCGCATTTATTCTTAACAATTTGTATCCCTATCTTTTAATACCATATAAATGAAGCCTCTATTATTTTTGCTCCCAATCTTTGAATAAATTTATCTCGTCTCGAAAAGCTTTGTGACAATTATTTCCGAACAATTAACCTGAAATTACCATTGTTTTTGCCATAGTTCCGCCTGATAAAGTCAAGATCACTCGCGAGCCGCAGAATCTACACGCAGGCCAAGAGGGTCATATCATTTGCGAATCGAGCAGCAGTAATCCGGCGGCGGAGATGTCGTGGTGGAAGGGCGGGATCCCGGTGCAAGGTACCAAAAATGGCACTAAGCCCGGCTTACATGGGGGATTTCTATCGTTCGTCGAATTGTCGTTGGATGTAACGGAAGAAATGAATGGAGAAGTGTACACGTGTCAAGCGAGAAACAATCAAATGGATAGGTCTATTCACGATGCCACTACGCTCGACGTATTGTGTAAGTATCATAAAAATGTGTCAAAATTGAATCGGTGAATTGATTGAACTTAAATGAAAATTATATTAACAGATTCTTATTTTCTAAAATTTAATTAAATGTATAGTTTAATAAAAGATTTAATTCCTTTAAATATCTCTATATAATCTGCATATCATAATAAATTTATGTTATTACATTATGTTGAAGCATTTTCTTTGAGATCAATCATCAGAATAATCAAATCTCATAAAATAAAATTTTTGTAATTGATTTAGATTTAAATTTTTAATTAAATCAAAATTGATCTCATCCTTATTATTAATATGTATTATATATATTCAATAATTAAAGGAGAAAGCATGATTCAAAAGAAAAATGAATTTTTTGTTACAGATAAGCCGATATTCTCCTCAATCGAGCCTTACGAGTTAATAGGAATGGAAAGCGAACCTTTCGTGATTTCGGTTTCAGCTATGGGAAATCCTAACGAGATAAGTTACACGTGGACTAGAGATGGTTTACCTCTGGTCAGTAATAACAGAAGAATATCTGTTCGTGCTTCTACGTTAAATATCACTAAACTGGATCGTCACGATGCCGGAACTTATATCTGTGAAGCCACTAATGAAGAAGGCACGACATTTTATCAATTGAACTTAACTGTTCAATGTAAGCGCAAATATGAAATTTTTCATATTTCAATATTTTTAGAATTTTAAATTATTAAATTTTCATATCACTCTACTTTTATATTTTTGAATTTTAATTCTACATTTCCATATTTTATTTTTTCAAAATTTTTAAATTGCTAAATTTTCATATCACTCTCATTTCACTCTACTATATCTGTATTTTAAATCATTAAAGTTTCATTTTATTTCATTTTTAAATTACTAATTTCATATCCTCAATTTTTAAAGTTATATGAAAAAGAAAATTTAAAAATTCGATCAATTGAATTTCAACGTCATGGAAATTCTTAATTTTCTCACGTGCATCGCATATTTTTAGATTCAGCAAAGATTAAACGCACCTCAACTTCGGGAATAGTATATTCTCCCGGAATCGAAGCGAAATTGTTCTGCGAAGTGGACGGTAGTCCCATAGGAGACGAATATGTCACGTGGCAGAAAGTTGGCTCAAACTCGGAACTCTCTGGTCGATATTCCACCTCTTTCATCAACAAAACTTCTTATCTGCACATCGAGAACCCTGATCAAGAAGATGTTGGAGAATATCAATGCAAAGTTAACAATGGAATCGGCAATGTCACTTCTGAACCTATTCTTTTCATCACAAACTGTATGTGCTTCTTTATATTCATATATATGTTTTAAATATCTGCATCTTTTTTTAAAATAATATTTTGATATAGTCAAACCACAAATGATGAATACACCATTGACGAGAAGAGCAGCAGCAAACAAAGGAACAAACGTTCAATTGTTATGCAAAGCAAGAGGCTCGCCTTTACCTCGATTCTCTTGGACATTTAATGGAAAAACATTGCTCCCTAATGTCACGGAACATAAATACGGAATTACGCACACTGATGTAAGCTTTCGATATATTCTTCAATTATTTTTTATAATTTATATTTAACGAACGAATTTATATTTAAATTCGTTTCCAATTAATTTCTTAAACAAACTTTAAAAAAAGATAAGTAGCAATAAATTACTTTTTTTATTATGCAAATATTTTAAATGCAAAAAATCTTAAAATAAAAAGATTGCTACATAAATAAAATTATGAGGAAATCCCGAAACTTATTTATCCTGAAAATTCATCTGTTCAATCTTAATAAATGATTCTGCAACTTTTTTTGCAGTTAAGCGAATTAATTTCCAATTCGACGCTGACTATTTTCCGTGTGACATCGCACGATTACGGGAAATACGAGTGTCGTGCAACGAATAAAATGGGTCAGTCGACGGATATGATACATCTAGACGTGACATCACCGCCGGACAAACCTAGCGATCTTGAGGTGTTCAACGTCACCCATGATTCTGTCACACTGGTGTGGAAAAGAGGATTCGATGGTGGTTTGCCAACCTCGTATCAGATACGTTGGAGGCAGGCTCTCGATTACGAGCATCGATACCACTATCTGGATGTATCGGCAGGAGAATATAAAACCACGATAACAGGATTGTCCCTTGGGACATACTATGTGTTCAGCGTGAAAGCTATCAATGAGAAAGGGGACAGTGGCTTTCTACCTGACTTGGTTAAAGTTCAAACACTTCGTAAGTCTTTTTTTTTTTTTTATTATTATTTTTTTAATTATTCCAACGCTGTTTGCCATAGTAGTTGCTTTGTTAGGTAAAACCAATTTTAAATTTTGGATTATTCTAACCAGGCTAAATTGTGAAACCGTTTGCTAGAATATTAAAAACGGTTTTTGTTGACTAACAATTAGATTAATATTTTATATTTATTTTTTTTTATTTAGAAATAAGTTCTATAATTGGATACGTATGTATTTAGTTTTATTTAGTAGAGTATAATAATGGTAAAATTCGATAAGAAGATGTAGCTTGGTTCGATAAGAAGATGTAGTTTGGTTCGAGGGAAATAGTAAGAATAGGGCGCAGCTATGTAATTTCATATTTAATATGTGTAGTCAGCTTTGAGTAATGAAATATTATCATTTAATTTAAATGTATATTTGCAATTGTTCTCTAGGAAAATAGAGAATAAATTTAATTGGTGAAGGAAATATAATGTTGTAATTTGCTTGCTTTATTAATCATCTTTCAGGAAACCCATATTCAAAATAAATATTCCATGTTTAAATCTCATTATACTAATTATATTTCCTCTTCCAAATCAAATTTTCCATTAAAAACAATTGCTTATATGCCTTTAAATTATTATCTCCATAAAATAAACAAAAAACATAGCTTATATAACAAAAAATATCCACATTTTTTGCATTAAATCAACATCATGTCTCGTTTGTCTGCTTCATCATCGCATTTGATTTTTTTTTTTTTTTTTTTTGCTGAAACAAAGAAGAAAAAAAAGAATACACGAAATACTTAAAGCTTAAAGCTTAATCGCATCGAATATACAATGCAACGAGTAAAGTAGCATTTATTCACATCGCATCTAATGAGAAATATCGATCATCATAATTGCCAGTATTTAACCGATTGGCATTCCGTGACGTAAATTGATTAATAGTCGTTATGCCTGTAACGATGAAGTCTCGAACGAAGAATTACCATTGCTGATGAACTTAGGTGTGCTAATTAAACACCGCGGACACGCGGCAATAGTTTAATAATAGATCGATCCGAATCGCTAAAATTGTAACTAACCATTGTGGACTGTTGTCATTGCATGAATAACAATTCGGTGATGGGGCGTTGGCTTGGCTTACAGGGGAGGCACCACCTACCGACGTGACATCCAGCGAGATTAATTCTTCCTACATCATCATCATTATCATCACTGTTTCCGCCTCTGTTTGCCTACTCATTGCTGCGCCCATAGTCTTTGCTACATTAAAATCGAAAAAGAAGGCCCAACGTTCCGGTAAATATAATCAATCAGCCCTATATCGTCTTTTTTCTGCTTTTATCCTGCAGGGCCGAATAACGCTGAGAACCTGCCGGACGTTCTCTTGGAAAAGGGGGATTTTACAATGAATTATATCTATACGTTTGCAGCAACTTCCCTCATCTTTTTTATCATTAATATCTTCATCATCGTGTTGTGGTACATTATGAGAAAGCGAAATAAATCTCGTAAGTTAATTTACGTACAATGAATTTTGATCCGGTTTGCTTCGTCGTCTGAAAAAAAAAAAAATATTATATATAACATTATAATTTTATGTATGTATATATATTTTAATTTTAATCTGGTGATTGTTTTCAATTATATATATTCAATTTTACTTTTAAAACTAAAAGTATTATGCAGTTACTTTCAACATGTACACTATTGTTAATTTTCACAAATTTTCTATCATGTTTTATTTCAACAAATATATATATTGTTTGCAAAGTATTTCGATAAAAGAGATATTATTATATTTGAATTTTGTACAAACTTGTTCATTATTAATATATGAATATTATTTCGATTCTAAGTGAAATTTGATACAAAAATAAAAAATTTAAATTTAAGGAAAAATTAATGACAGTCATCGGATTAATTAACATTTTAATTTCATTTTTAAAATGTTAATATAACAAGCAAAAAACGTAAAAGTTTTGCACATTTCATAATATATGTTTCTATCTTTGCGCAGGAATAAACAAATCGCAAACAGCGGATATGTATGCACCATCAACCGTGAATGGAGACACCATGACCGGCGAATTAAGTTCGGTATCGGATGAGAAGAGCGACGTTAACTTCGACACTAATGATTACGTGGTCAGTGCGATCAGTCAGTATGTTCTTAGTAACAAGTAATGCCGGAGGGTAGGTTTGAGTTCTATTAACACATTTCTGTTCCATTTTGCTTCCGTTTTGGGCCCCTTTTGCTTGTTTTCGGTTCTTCTTGATAGAAATAGTTTTTCGAATTTTTAAATCTTCTCCCTTCTTCGGCATTTTGTTAAATTAGAATTCTTTTCTTTACTGTTTCTTTTTTTTTCTTTTCTTTTTTTTTTCAATTTAATTACTATATTATTCTTACTATATTTACTATATTATTTAATTACTATATTATTATTAGTTTTTTCTTCGTTTCATAATGAAAAAACCCTTATTTAGAAGCTTTACTAAATAGTATATTCTTCTTACTGCGAATTCTACCAATAATATTTCGATTTTTAAGCAAATTTTAACTTCGTTTCTTCCAGTACTCTTAAATATAAACAAGTTACGGGGTGGATGTTTAGAGGTAGTTTCCATGCACGTAAAACACATCGAGAATCTCTCGTAATGTATCAGAATGATGAAGTTAATGTCGACGCGAAGTATATCGCTTTAATGCATGCAAAACTGGTAACGTACTTGCGTACAATATTTTATATAATTCATACTGATACGCTACGAAATTATAGAATTACTCGAGTAATGATTCATTTTATTGCGTTTAGTCAATAATAAATTCATAGACAAATTGCAGGTTTTCCCTCATCCTGCGTTAATTTAACGATATATTTTCTCTCTATGTAACATAATAGGACGAGGGACGAAAGACTGCAGCTAGCACATATTTGATAGATCAAACTATGCAAGATTTTGGAAAAGGGAATATGGAAATGCAGGTACATCATCAAGGAACACTTGGTCGCCGTGGCAACCACATTCAACCACCGATGAGCATGGATTCACCGCCACAGCGAACGACAGCCAGTGGAACACTTTCTGGTATATTACTCAAATTTCAGAGGATATTATATTTTATAATATAGTAATGACTTTCATATATATATTTAAAGAGTTCTTTTAGGATGTTAATTCTTCGATTATAATTATATAAATATCTATAATTTAACGCAATTTCCATTTATTACAGTTTCGAAATCGAGTTACATCGGAAACCCTAGTCCGGCACCGCCAAACGACGTAAATTTCTACAGTGTAGAGATCGATAATGGCCGTTACATGGGATATGAAACGAATCACAGTCCAGTGGTGGGTGATCCAGGTTCAGGTAGTTATTATCCATCCATGAGTCCCACTGGACATATGCTTTCGAGTCATGTGAACAGCGGGACAGGCACGTTGACACGCAGCAGAACTTTACCACGTCCAGTCCCACCACCGGATGTGACTGTGATGACTGCTGGATCGAAATCGCCGATACCACCGTCGGTACCTCCACCACCTACTACGTTTGCTCGGTCGGTATCCAGCAACGCGCACACTCATGGTCACCCATTGTCGACTTTTACTCCCACGCCAGCCTATTCCGATATTGATGGTCATCTTGTCTGAGGATCGCCAATATTCGGCCCTAGTTCGGTGCGTGGGAAGTATCGTGCCGTACCGAGGGACGAGACTATCATCGTGACAGAAAGAACCACCCGGCTCTAATATACATCTTGATCTGTGGCTGTCGAATCATGGAATTCTTTCATGAATCTTCGGCCTTCGTTCATCGTTTTCGACGTCTCACTGAGCTATATATATGGTTATGTCAGTTTGATATCGTTCGAGGACGTGAAACAGGATTTTTTTGATGAAATTGTGCGATCATAAAGAGTTTTGTGTGGGTGCTTCGACGACTTTCTCATACACATTATCCTCCTTGAACATAAAAGAAAGTAACAGAAGTATGTAAATAGAAACAAAGAAAAAGAGGAACCGATGTTGCGGTTTCTATACGTAATTTTTAAGTAGCATGCGGTAATACCGTTTGCAATATGCAATATGCATTCCTTATATGCTGGTTTCATTGGTTTTTCTGCGGACATAATTATCAAATATGTACCTCGACTTGGATCTTATGATAGATCATATAATTACGTTTTTCGCATATCACATTTTAAGAAAAACGATTGATACTTGTGAGCAATCCATTGGAATCAACTCTGAAGATATTTTCGTGATACCACAGTTAGCATATTGTCAGTGATTTATTCAATTTGTTTTTACCATTTCTTTCTGTGGTTTTTGATTGCGCTTATTTATGCACTTTTACTTAATTGTGACGACTTCATAGTGATGTAAAGACTTACATGATCCATCATGTGACTTAAATGGAAATCGACGAATTATGGATGGAAGAAACTCATCTGAGAATGTTCATCTTAGTGAGCACAAAGGTATGATCAGGTTAAGTTGCATTTTGCTGGGTTAATATCATTAAATGATAAACTCATGCGATCCAACTGATAAATTAGATTGTAAATTAGAAAAAAAAGATATAATAATGAAACGAAATATCAGGGAAATTCGCGAGCCGTAACAATATATAACAATTTAAAAAATTTTTTTAGAAACACTTCGTTACACTTATTCGTTACACTTACATTCGATCGATGGCGCTTTTGAAAGTCGAATTTTAAATCTCGATTTAAATCGATAATATTATCTATCGATGCTGTTACTCTCGATATCATTATGTAATAATATGCCAAATGATTTTTTTACTTTTTTTTTTCTTTTTTCTTTTTTCTCTTCTCTTTTTTTTATGAATGACCGTTTTGAAGTTAGTTAACAAAATATTAATACATTGGCGAATATATTCATATTTGAAATTTTAAAAAGGAAACGAGACAATCGTTTTACACAGGGAAAGAATTGACAACGTTTGTAATCAGTATATATTAATACTGATTTTCTTCTTTTCTTTCCCTTTTACTAATTATAAAACGCGTTTTCTGTGTTAGATTGATAATTTTTTCAAGGAAAAAAGTGATATGTGAGATAAATAGAAGCTATTTGTGAAAAATGATCTATCAGTGACAGTCAATGTGATGAAAATGTTTATGAAAAATGTTCGATAGATATTAAAATAGTAGAAGATATTTAGATAAGAAAATTCTAAAACAATGGACGCGATATAGAAGTGATTTTACTTTCTCGGGCTTACTATACTTTGATAGATCAATATTTTGTTCTATATATTAGAGACATGATTCCCGCGCTTTTTGAGGTTAAGAGGGTGATCAAGCAAATTTTCTATAAAATTCAATTTTACAAAAGCAAATTCGATTCAAAATCAATAAAAAATCTTTTTCTCTTCGTATATTATTAAAAATTATACGTATATAGATATGAATGTGTTTGCATATCATAAGTTTTTTAATTGTTTATTTTTTCTGTTTGTTTTGTGATTCGTAATTTCGTAATTTTCTACGAATATTATTAAATGATCGTTTTATTTTTTAAAACATTGAATTTTAACATATACGTATAAAATATTACGTATAAAATACGGAATTTCCACTGCCGAATCCTAAAGTCAATACTAATACGAATAGTTTAATTAATTAATTGTCGTGAAACGCATTTGTATGAACGCTTTGTTCATGTCATTATTGTTACGGGAATTGGCGCGAAATAAAATAGCAAATATAAAGCGTTAATTCTATTTTATGTGTTCGATAAAAAAATGTTTTTGCTATTAAAATGATTGATATTTCGTTAAATAAGATTTAGTTATTAAACTCAATATATTACAATTATGCACGATAAATATGAACGAATAATAAGAATATTTATAAGGTAAACAGTTTTCACGTGACATCCAATGAGTGCTGATTTTGTTTTCTATCTTTTATGTATAGTTTTATTACTTCGATTAACAAAATCGGCACGATCAGAGAATAGAATATAAATGATTGTTAACAATTTATTATTACGCGGTACAATACATATGGCGTTTATAATTAAATTACAAGAAATATGCCAAATATTTACAAATATTGTTAATTGTCGTTTAAGAATGATACTTTGTAAAAATAGCTAATAAGTAATTTTTTTGTTTTAACTACAATATTACAATATAACTTCACTGCCTAATTTTTATTTTTGTACCGCGAATACGAAACTTTTTTTATACTAATTGTTATAAGACTTAGCATCACGTGAAAACAGTTAACTTATTATTAACAAAAAAAAGACAGTCGCTTAATATTATTTTTTCAAAATGGCAATAGCTTCAAGCCACCTATATATATATATATTCAAGTAAAAAGTATAATATCGCAACGAAATGATACGATATTTATTAAAAAAAATCACAACAATATAAAAAAAATGTAATCAACATAATCAGTGAAATCTATTATATGCAACAGAAATTAAAAAAAAAAAAGAAGTAGGAAAGACAAACAAAAAGAAAAGAAATAAAAGTGAGTGTCTTGGAGTAGTGATATCTTCAAAAAAGACAATAGTACATAAGTTTAATTATACGAATATGAGTTTAGTTAAGAGTAAACTATTTCCCTGGCACAGCCAAGTTAGAAGTTGCATTTTTGCATAAAAGGACTTTATGCAAAACGATAAGACAGAAAACGTAGTTCGACTAAATGTTTATACATATATATTTTTGCATTTATTTCCATTAAAAATTGATTATCCTTGTAAATAGTGCGATATGTCTCAGCGTTTCACACACTCCAGAAAAAAACAAGTAATTAAAGAAAATGGATCATATGAGGGTCTCACTTTACCTAAGCTATAATGAAATATTGTATAGGATTATTACGCGCTAGGCCACGTATTATATCTGGAAGAAAACAAAAAAAGAATTATTCCAGTTATCGGACGAGACAGCGTCTTTCCGTTTATCGAAAGCCTAAGTAGTCCACATATATTTTTGAAAAGAAAGAAAAAAAAAAATACAAAAAGACACCGCATATATTTGGCCTATTGTAAGAAAGAGTCTCGCAAACACACGATGACGCGTGAAGCGCCACAAGCGACAAAAGCTCGTATTAAAAATTGGTCGATAAGGTGTGAGTTTCGTTCAATTTCCATGAAAGAAAAATCATGATCGATACGCGCCCAATCAGAATTTTTTTCAACAAATTTGTATATTGAGATAACGAGAACAGAAAAGAAATAAATTAAAAAGAACGAATCTATGTTTGCAATGTTCAATATGATCAACAAGAGATGACGTTGAGAAATCTACGCACGTCCCTGGTAACTGTCATGCTTCTAATTTGGCTCGCGTATCGTACGAATGTAAGTTAGGAATACATAATAAGTAAGATTGCTCTAAAAATACATAGAAATGCATCATCATTCGCATATCCACATTCAACACATACACTTACATCTATGCGAGAAATCACTTTGGATTAAATCCACGTAAAATAATACGAAAATCGCTGCGTAAATATGTATATTCTGAGCAATCATACTTATCGATAGAGTCTCGAAAGGATCGAACGTGAATGATAGTATCGATAATCGATTGCATCCTACACTATTTTCATTCTATCGCGATTATTGATCGAGCTATTGGTTCATGTGAGAATCGATCGAGTCTATGTTTGTAGAGTATTCTTGAATAAACACGTAATATAAAAAATAAAAAGAAACGAAAGAATGAACTTGCACGCGCGGTAAAAGGAAAGACAAGAAAATCTTAAGAATGTCGTTCACATTGTATACTTTTTCGCGCCGTTGTCATGTGTGTTTTATGCTTGAGAACTGTTTGAAAGTTTTACAAATATAACGTTTTCGTAGCATGCGCTATTGTTATTTCATTAATCGAGAAGGACACTGATTTGTTACGGTAGATTCTACAAAGCTTAAAAAAAAAAAAAAAGAAACGTGTATTGTTAACCGCTGCTGTTGTGTATGGAGCCGCATCGTTCGGCTTAGACTGATGATAAAATTCACGTATGCTCAATTAGAGATCATGTTTGCGCATAATTAAGAATTCTATTTACATATACATGTTTTATATTTGTAATTAATGAAAATCATCTATACTTAATATTACCTGATATTATTAGATTATGTAATCTCCAAAGTATTTGCTCATCAAAGTGCTAGGCAAGTTAGACGGACCGATATTCGTCCAAAATGGTACCTTGGAGATGGACATACCATCTAACAGTACGATATTTGATATTTTACACAATAATTAATAATTTCGTTGATTATTCTAAGACATAGTCAATCCTAATTATACAATCATTAAGATACGAGAATATATATATATATATATATATATATATATAAATTAACCGTTTTACATGTATATAATGTACATATACAAAACTTAGATAGACAAGAATAAAAAAGAAATGAAATGCATAACGAATTAATATCAAATTTAAAGAAACGATCGAGAGCTTTCGTAACTAGGTAAATATTCATATTAACTTTTGATGGTTTTTCTTGGTATTCGTTTTATCTATTTTTTCCTCTTTTAGAAAACAACAGAGAAAAAAACGAATATAAAAGAAAGAAGAATAATTCTCTCGCTGACGATACTATTATGATTGTACATGTCGTTCTATGTTTTGTATCTGAAGGCACT